ACGTCACTGTTTTACTTATTCTGCTTATTTTGTGTGCTTATCTTTGTCTGAACACCACCTCATGGCAGCTCCTAACCAGTTAGGATACATCTGGAGCTGTGCTTCATTTTGGTGAAGAAAGGAGAGATTTCCTAAGATAGCAATGTCGATAAATCGCTCTTACTTCTACTCCTAAAAGTAGGACCAAAAATGCATTATTCTGAGAATTTATGGCCAGTTAAGAGGGATTTTCTACTCTGCTACTCTGGGATGATTGATAAATACGGGTCCAGGTCTCCATAGTGGAGCAGAGGTCATGTGGCCCAATTTTGTTTGGCTGAAACTGGAAGTTGCTCAGTGTCCTCCCTGATCATGTTCTTTTTATGCTTGCACTCAGTGTATAACTGTGCCATCCTGATTGTCCATACTGTAAATCTACTGTGTTGCTCTATTCTGTACACATGACATCAACCTCTTGTCTGCTCATCCTTGAAGAGTGATCCCTTCTCTGGTTTAGTTCCTGAGGTTTCTGCCATTTTCCAGCATTAAAGGAAGTTTTCAGGGTTAATTTTGCCTTATTTAATTTAAGGGTCAAAGGACAGAGAGTGTCTTTACAGATTGTAAAGCTCCCCGAGTTAAACTGTGATACTGGACTATATACAATAATGTATCATTTTACCCCATGCTTTCATTTACCTGTAGTCAACGGCACAGGTGGCAAGGTGTGTGTGGAGGACAGTGATGATGGCAGGTGCTGTGTATCCCAAAATGGGATCATCAACGACATCTAAGAAGTCAACCAGCTGTAACATATAAATACATACAGTTAGCAAGAGATATAGTAAACTGCAAACATTTTAGATTCATACACTTAATCTGATTTTAGCATGGAGTATGACTGCATTTTTTCTGCACAACCAAAATGGTTTAACTGGAAAATAAACCAGAACAAATTGCATTTGCTGTAATAACAGCATAGGTTTCTGGTCTACTTGGTTATGCAGCTTGTTTTAATCATACTTTAGTAGCCACAATATAATAGCACACTGCCGCATCTTGCGCGGGAGGGGGGGGGGGGGGGGTTGTGTTTTGGCAGAGCTAGTGATTAAGTACTGGTGGCCCCTGTGAGGCAAAGCAGTCTAATAACAGCTGCCAGCACAGACAGAATAATGTTCCAGGGGTCAAGTCACTGTAGTTTTGTGGGGTTTTCTTTAACATATTCTATTTTCTACATGGAAAAATACTTTTCTCTGCTCTGTATAATCGGCATGTGAGACCCAGTACCTTTCAATTATTTTGTCTTTAACTGTAACTGACATTTTCTGCTGTCCCCACTTTCTCTAAACCTGCCACATATACATCAGTGACTTACAACACCTCCAACTCAAGCACCTCAGTGATGCAGCTGCAGGTATTACACATTTATGTGCATCAATACCAAATAGCAAGAGTACAGTAAAGATCCTCTAGTTTAGCTAAAGCAACAGCTGCACCTCAGCTACAAAGGACACTGGACAACATCTTATTACTTTACTGCACCCTGGTCCACATTCATGCATTTCTATTTTTGCCTAAATGTGGAATGTCAAATATTTTGTTAGTCTAGAAAAAGCCTTTTTATGGATGATAAATCTGGCATTTACCTCTACAACAGCTGAAAATTGCTGTGCTCTTTCTCTTTACTTTTTCCATTAAGCAAGTAAAGCATGAAATAAGAAAAAACAATTGAAAGGCCTAGAAACTAAATAGTACATATACCGGTACCCAAAATGGCATAGTACACTGCAATTATTTCAGTTAAAGTGCAGGGAAGTGTTTGAGGAGGGATTTTTTCCTTTCATGAACTTTTAAGCATAAACACTGAGAGCCAGGAAGATATGATCTGCAGAATGACTGATTTCTTTTAGCTTCCTTGTCCTGCTTCTTACCTGCTCATGCCAGCTCTGATCGGTCTGTGTCATGTAATGTCGCATGGTGGCACCCTGAAGTCGAAGGGCAACCACAAACTCCTACAAGGAGACACAGAATACAAACACAGTTTAATTTCAAACTTACACCTGCAGCAAAAGCAGGTGTATTAAAAAGACTCACCTTGACATTCCTCTGAAGGTCCAGTGTGATTTTGATGGCTGTGGACAACACCCTCCCCCCCCCTGCCACTCACACTGCTCACCCCCACCTCTGTGGGGTAGATGGTAGGGTCCAAGTTCCTCGGGGGGCTAAAGTTGGGCATTTCCAACCGCTGTGGGATGGGGGTGTCTTTCACCACTGCTGTAATGGTGGGTGTGTGTGTGTT